ATATAGACTTTTGGAGGTGGAACTTGATCATTTCAGAATTATGGATTAAGGTTCGCAACTTACCTCTAGGCTTCTTGATGGAAAGGTGGCTAAACATATTGGCAATTATGTAGGGAGGCTGTTGCTGATTGAAGAAAGGATACTGGGTGGAGCTAGTTAATCATATATTCGCATAAGAGTTTTAATTAACATCAAGAACACACTGTAGAGAAGGACGCAGATCACCTAGAGGATGACAATTGGTTATGGACAGGTTTTTAAATTGAGAGGCTTCTCAATTTTTTCTTTATTTAGGGGTGTTAGGACATGCAAACCGCTTTTGCCCCGCGCCCTCATATAACCACTCGGGGGCCTTGGATTCGGGGGAAGCCTTATGGTTCTTGGATACGAGAGGATCGGATATGCGCTATGGAGGGATACATCCAGGAAATAAATGACCCATTTCAAGTGGATGAAGATGACCCATGACTTACAATGAAGAGGATGACAACCGAAACAATTGGTAGCAAAACAAACTAGAGAAGAAGAGGCTGGATTTTATTTAGTTGAGGGGTTGACTTCCGGAAGAAAGGAGATACTGAGTGTATCGGAGGAGCAAGTGTAAGAAATAAATTGTCTCTATATTTTGATGGTGATGTGTAATTAGGAACTTAGAGTACCCCTTAAATAGTTGTAACGCATTAACCTTGCATGAATCGGCGTTCGCTCAAGTCTACCAGAAGCAAAGTTCTTAAGGCAAATACGTTGGGAACAAACTTGGCCAAGCAGAAAAGGGCTAAGTTAGAGATCGACTACAGAAGCAGAGAAGGCAATATGCAACAAAGTCTATTAGGTTAAAATGCATGTTAAGTAAAACTAACAGACCCGCTAACGTGGTTGAGCCTCTTAATGGAAGAACAAACGCATTAAATGCTATTTATCTGTTACCACAAAATTCCAAATGATTGGTTGACCCCAGATCATGAGATCAATTAAAATAACCCAAAATAAGGAATGATCAGGAATCTTGGACTGACAAGTCAAGTCAATAGGATGAGCATTAAATGAGTTTGTTTGATCTTCTTCACTCCCATGAGAATACTACAACAATATATATATAAATGATATACTATGAAGAACAGATGAACAATGAACCCAAAGCTTAACAATTTGAATTTCCGAGAACATCAGTGAAATCTGAACACATGAATTCAAATGCGGGACTGAGAGAATATTATCGCATATCTTCAAACCCATCCTTAACAAAGTTCATCTGAAACTTTCAAACACTCTAAGAGTTTCATCTACATACACTAAATGTTGAGTATTATTTTATTGTGTACAAATTCATTTGTTATATTTGTGTAATAGAAGATTGGTTATTTGGTCGGGCCAGCTTTGTATTTGGGCCTGGTAACCTAATGTAATACGGAATCCCAACCTTCAGTTACTACATATATAAGGGATTGTCTTTCAAAAAGTTAATGATTAAACAATTAACGAAGGCATCCGTATCATCGTTCCAAATAGCTGAGAGTCGCACTTTGACTGTAGCATTGAATACTCAATTTGTAACTTCTCGCTCATCCTTATCCTATTGAATAAGCATTCATTTCTGCTCATCTACTTTGTGTTATTCTATTTATTTATATGATTGTCGTAATATTCATAACCCACAATTCGTATCCGAGAAAGAAACCTCATTTTCTCCAAGTTTCGTGAACCTCATTTTCACTAAGAAACCTCTTTGAAAACCAGTTTTTTGTAACAATTTTTGAACTCAAAAATTAACAAAAATGACATGGCTGAACTCGTCATTGATCTATTTATCATTCATGTAATTAATTACGAGTCCGCTTTTCATTCTCCAATCTTTACCACCTGAATAGTCCGAGTGACAAAAAACCCAATCTATTTTGGCTGCTCTGACTCTAATTCCACGCTTAGCACCTCTCTCGGCAGTGTCCCTTTTTGTAGTATCCTGTTGGTCATCTGTAAGCACCTCTTTATGTGATTGTTCATTATTTGGTCCTTGGGTTTCAGATAGGTGTTTAAAGATACGCTCATATTCTTTGGATAGAAATGTTATTAGATTAGCATCACCTGAGTTCATTGTATCCTGGAGGAATAGTTTCAGCTCTGAAACAGAGGACTCTAATGCGGCACAAATGTGAGAAGACTCAAATGAAGTAGTTGTAACCGGAAAGCTCAAAGTATCGATCATATTTCCAGAATATACTAAATCAGCTTGTACTAAGGCATCTGAGATAGTGAACTCCTTAGTGTCTACATAATTTCCGTCCATACTATCAATAACGAGATTAATAATCTCGAAATCTGAACAACCAGCCTGTTGGGGAGATGATTCTCTCAGTTTGGTAATAGCATGTGAGAGACCGACAATAAATCTAGTGAAACCAACTCCATTTTTGCCCTCCGGTATAAACAAAGAATCCTCGCCTGAAAAAATTCTAAAGAACCCCCCAAAGTTAATACCATCTAAACTGACAGTGATGTATTTGTTAAGAACTGATCTGGAAAGTGATGTATTTCTACACATCTACTCTCTGTTAATTTATTTATCTGATTCTCGTGATATTCATAACCCACATACAGAATAATCTTTTTCTAAACAAAGGATATTTTTGGAAAAAGAAGGGGCACCAAAGTAGCTAGAGTGAAGTAGGGATACTTTCAAGAGTCTAGCGAACAAGCCAGTCATCAAGGAGACTACTTTTGAAGATGACGTCAAGAGATTTTTGGGAGATACGGATAAGCTTGTAATTGTGCATTACTTGCACTTGGTGAAAAATGGACTAGAAGAATGCATTGTTTGTAGAACCACTATTAAAATCTCTAGTGTCATTGACCTAGTGCTCTTAATTTCTTGAACGAGGAACCAACTCTCAAGAGTGCAAACCTTGTCACTCGACAGATTTGAATCAAGAGATTTAGATGAAAATCTGCCTTATAGTGTTTCCAGGCTAGGCTTCCCAGTTCCCATCCACGATCATATTTAGACTATTTGGTTGCGAGACTAAATCTGCCCTGATTTAGTCTGAACTCTATTAGACGGACAAACTCCGTCAATCAAAAAAGAAATCTGAAACAACCTATTCACTCCACCTCTAGACTGTCTCTCCATATATTTAATCGGGACCAACAACAAGATCAGAGTAGAGCTTCTTTGAAGGGCGGAGAATGCAGGAATAGAAGAGCAGTGTGTCTAAATGAAAAGGCGAAGATTCAGGCAAATATGGAGGTAGACGACGGAATGTCCCAAAAAAACAGCAAGTAGGCGGTGCTCTCATAATAGCACTGCTTGTAACTCTGACACGACTTGAGACTGGGAGTGTTTCCTTAGAGGTGGTTGGTCAAACCGGGATTTTCATTTTAATTATTTCTTTTCTAATTGGGATAATTTGTTTTATTTCTTTTATCATTATAATAGTAAGTTTAACAATGATATTAGATTAGATTATATAGATGCGTGATTAGTAGATTTGTTTAGTCATAAAAGGTCATTCAATTGTATGTTTTAGTCTAGTGTAAACTTAGGCTATTGTATTACTTTATAGGAAGAATTTGAGTTTGCACCCCATATTTTGGGTGATATTAGACTTTGCACACCATTTTCATTATCATTAATGTAGGCACCCATCAACCCAAAAAATGTGATGGAATGGGGTGCAAACTCAAATGATTTTATAGTGAATTGGGGTGCATACATTAATGATTTTGAAAATGGGGTGCGAAGTCAAATATCACTCAAAACATGGGGTGCAAAGTCAACCTGTCCCTACTTTTTATTCCTTAGTTACTTTTATCATTACTAAGTAAATTTAATGAGATAAAATATTAATGAGTTATGATGTTTTGTTTTGGACTTTTTCGGTTTCAGACCAGACCAAACCAGACTTAAACATACTTAAATAGACTATATCAGACCAGATCAGACTTTCATTGTTATAAAATACATAAAGATCAGACATTACCAAACCATATCAGTTCAGACCAGACCAGACTTGAATAGATCAGACCAGCAAATTTCAGTGCAAAAGAAAACATTCTTAGGGTTGGTTTGCAACTACTTTTAAAAAAGCACTTCTAGCTTTTGGTTTTAAAAAAACACTTATTTTTCCAAACAATACAACTTTTATTGTTCTCGGCTTCCGCGTCAAAAGTGCTTTTACTTTTTCTATTACACAAAAAGCACTTATTTTACCAAACACTACCAACTTTTACTTTTCAAAATCACTTTTTTCTCAAACAATATCAACTATTATTTAATCACTTCTCCCCATTTCATTAAAAAAGCACGTTTTTAAAAGCAGAAGCTGTTGCAAACAGACCCTTAGAATGTCTTCTTTTGGACTAAAATTTGCTGGTCTGGTCTGGTCTGAACTGGTGTGATCTGGTCTGGTATGATCTGGTAGACGTCTAGTCTCTATGTATTTTATAACAACGGAAATCTGGTCTGGTCTGATCTGATCTGGTCTGGCCTGGTCCGGTTGGGGACTGAAAACTGTCCAAAAGAAAACATATGGTACTCCAAAAGAAAAATGATTGATGTACACACAAGTTGTACACAAAAGTTGTACACTTGTCTGTCCAGCGCAAATAAGACAAGTGTACAACTTTTGTGTACAACTCATCTCCAGACAACTCATCTCCAGACAAACAATTTATTTGCGTTGGACAGACAAGTGTACAACTTTTGTGTACACTTGTGTGTACACCTAGCTCCACTCTATTTTTTTTTTGGTAGTTTCTATGGTACCCATAAGGTACCATACCTTTGTCCACATGGACCAATGAAAAGGTAGCAGTTGAATTATTTAAATCTAAATTAAAATTGATAAAGTGATGTGGTCCAATCAAATGAATGCTAGGTACGGTATCCCTATTTTTAGAAAGGTACCAGAGTTGTCACCTTTTTTTTTGGGTAAAAGCTCCACTCTATTTGTAATAATTTGAAGTGTTTTCCAAATATAAGGGAAAAATTAACGGAGGATTTACTCATTTGCTGACTGAGAGATGCGGACATGTACCCGTATATATAGCTAATAAATTTCTTTGGCCGGCGTTAGGTCTGTATCAGAGTTCTCCCTTCACTTCTTCGCCGTGTGATGAGTAGACGTTGACCCGTCGTGATCGGAGCAACTTTCTGAGTTTATGGGGCACTGTTGCAGCAAGGTCGTCACCGACGACGGCGTCGTCACACCGGCAGGTGGCGTCGTCACCACTGCAGCTGCCGCCGGGGACGGCCAGCGCCCCAAACCGCCTACTTCCCCGGCACCTTTTCAACATTCCTCCACGAATGGGATCGATGAGAGTCATTCCAGCAAGAACACTCCGGCTTATTCCTTCACCGCCAGTCCATGGCAGAGCCCCTACCCGGCTGGCATCGGTCCCTCGCCGTCTCCGGCTGCAACTCCGAGGAGGAAATTCAAGTGGCCATTCCCTCCCCCATCTCCTGCGAAGCCTATAATGTCGGCTCTGCTGAAGCGGCAGGCTCCCGCTTCAACTAGACCAAGGGACGGGCCAATTCCGGAGGAAAATGGAGGCGGAGGAGGAGAGAGGCAGCTTGATAAGAGTTTCGGGTATGCCAAAAACTTCGCGTCCAAGTATGAGCTGGGGAAAGAGGTGGGTCGTGGGCATTTCGGTCATACTTGTCTGGCTAAAGGTAAAAAGGGAGAGCTCAAGAATCAACCTGTAGCTGTGAAGATCATTTCCAAAGCAAAGGTAAGTGGTATGTGCATTTAATTTATTTAAATTTTCCATTTTGTGGCATATAATATCATGTTTCTGCTTCTTCTCTAGTTGAACTGCTGTAAAATGAATTGAATTTAGCCTTCTTGGAAGATAAATCATCAAAATGTGCTCGCTGCAAATTAATCTTTATTAGTGTTAATGAACATTGTATCCCCACATATTCAAACTAAGAAGGCTGATCCTTTAACTGTTGATAACCATTTTGTGCTCCCTTTGGGATTAAAAAAGAAAGAAGGAACTTTCAAATTGGCAGTACTTCTTTATTTGCCATTCTAATGGGTGCTGATTTTCATTCTTAGTTGTAATGTTTGGTCTTGGTTTATGCAGATGACAACTGCCATATCTATTGAAGATGTTCGTAGGGAAGTGAAAATTTTAAAAGCGTTATCTGGACATGATAATTTGATTAAGTTTTATGATGCATGTGAGGATGCTCAAAACGTCTACATTGTGATGGAGTATGCCTTTTTGTTAACTCTCATCTTACCTGTCATCTTTTCATGAATCACATTGTCCCCTAAAATTGGTTTTTGTTTTTTTTGTTTGCAAAAAGGAAACGTATTTATTGATAATAAGCGTAACAAGAGATAAACCATTACAATAGTCCAAGATTAAGATGAGACATAGAATCTACTAGCCCCCAAAGACCAATCAAATTCTCTAATCTCGCAACTATGTAGTATAATCTAATAGAACTGCTGAACTTGCTACTAAAACGATAAGCAGGAAAAGATAAATTATTCTTTAAAGAAAAGCGTCAAATGAATTCAAACATCTCGGTTTTACCGCCGCCGAGCCGTTTTTTGGGCCGCCCCATCAACCTCCATATGGACCTGAACTTCAACCAAATTCTAAAGATCCACAGCTTTTCTCTTCTTGAATTCTCCTTCCTCCAGAGCTCTAACCTGGTCCCGCTCCTCCCCAGCACCCATCTTTTCTTTTCCTCTTAAATTTAGTCCCTGGACAAAATAAAATCCAGTCCCTTCTTCCCTATCTTGCTTCCCAAATAGGTGCTTATCATTATCACCTGCTCCCCTGTAACTCGTAGATCCTCTTCCCCCACGCGGGATCAGCCATTTGTTACCCGGGTGAATTCATCCATGCTGCATGTTTGCGTTATGGTTTTGCATCAGGCTCCTATTTTAGGATTTGTGACATTTGTATCCTATATGTGTTAAGATTCTAACCTTATTTTATTTATTTTGTCTTCTAGCGGTGTTTATAAGTTGGGAAATTAATTTTTATATTCATGTTCTATTGAAGAAGCGGATTCCACTATAATTTTGACCTCAACCAGCAGCTGAATGATTACATTCATAATGGAGCCAAAATAACTTTATTTTATTGTTGACAAATAGTAAGTGTACTTATTAACACATATGATTCTATTCTAAAAGGTAACCTTAAAGAAGAAGTATCTCAAAGTCATTAATTTATTGTTTCACGGTTATCCAGTATAGCACAAGCATTCATACTCTTGGCTGTAGTGCTGTACACATCCCCATTATTTTGTTTTCATTACACTAACAACTCGACACCTTGTTTCGAATGTGCATTCATCAAAGGTACCTACATCAAGGCTACTGATTTGGTTGGGTTTGGGACCATATTAAGTTTTAGTTCCATCAGAGTCAGATATGTATTGCTTCTTATATAGCCTGTATAGGACACATCATTAACCATGGCTCCTCGCTATGGATTTGTGGATTTCGACTTTAAATAATAATTTTAACTTTTAGCATATTTAAAAATTTAGTAGTTTATTTTCCATTTAAACTAAACAAACAAAATTTCAGGGTTAAGGAAGAAAAAGTTCACAAGGCTATACTGCTATGGATGGAATAAAGATTTTTAAAAATGTCTGAACAAACTGCATGATTCAATTAAGTTCACGCAGGCTGCCTGATTTTTATACATGAGTTGCTGACTTGCACCCAACTTTATAGTGCAACATTTAATTCTCTTCTTCTTTGTGTGAGTTTATGTGAAACAATTGTAATATCATCCTATTTATTCAGTGTGGTCTTTTGTACAGATTGTGTGAAGGAGGCGAACTATTAGACAGGATACTATCAAGGTAATGTTTCTCCTCTTTAACCGTTAATGGTTTGTGTAAGAGATTTCTTCAGCTTAAGTGCATTTTTTTCATTTTGTAATTTCAGAGGTGGAAGATACACAGAGGAGGATGCCAAGAGAGTAATTTTGCAGATATTAAACGTTGTAGCCTTTTGTCATCTTCAAGGTGTTGTGCATCGTGATCTGAAGCCTGAGGTAACCCATATATACATCCATTCCATTGTAACTATGAAACTATCACACTTTCAGAGCTATGCAGCCCAATTTGTTCCTATGAATGTGGTTTTCTTAAGTCATATTTGATGATGTGCACGTTGAGTTCACAATTCCAATTTCCCATTGTCGCAATTTCCTATGATGTGCAATACGAGATTTTCAAGAAATTTACCAAAATAGAGTAAGAAACAATATTAGTTCGATCAGTTTAGTTTAACCATAAACAAGGTATCAAAAGCAAAGTCTAATTTATAACTTAGAAGTGATAACATTTGTACTTTGCCAAATATAAACAGTTGTACATTGGACTAAAAAGACACTATTTATGGAACCGAGAGAGTATTTTAAGTGATCATTATATTTTCAATCCAACTCCTAAAAATTGATGATGTTATCATCTAGTTATTCCTTCTTTAGAAAGTTATTCACCGACCCCAATGTATTTGGAATTAAGATGCTGCTGATGGTGATGATGAAGATGTTGTTTTCTTTGTAGAACTTTCTTTTCACTAAAAGAGATGAAGATGCTCCCCTGAAGGTTATCGATTTTGGTCTATCAGATTTTATCAAACCAGGTACTAATTGCACTATACCAGCTCCTTCAAGCTCTTGTCTGTGCTAGGGAGTTGATCTATCTTCTTCCTTGAATGCTATTGCCTCTTACAAAATGTAGTTGATCCATTGAGTGTTAACGTGCTGTTGTTATTGGAGACATAAAATTTATAGGAACTATAAATGAAAATTCAGCCTGGTTCTTAGACTTGGCATGCCATTTACAGTGTTGCTGCGTGACCGAAAGGTCACATATTCAAATCTTGGGGGCAGCTTCTTGTGAAAATGACAAGGGAAGGCTGGCTCCTTATACACCCTTGTGGTAGGACCATTCCCTGGACCCTTTCCTTGCGGGGATTCCTATGTGCACCAGGCTGCCCCCTTTATCTTTCTTTTTTTGTTACAAGTATGCAGCTTGTGGCAAGGAGCTTGGATAGTGTTGGATAAGACGTAACGGAACATAATCTATAAGTAACACATAAAGGTAGATATAAAGTTGCATATAAGTAGATAACATTTACACACACAAACTGACACATTAGGTTTGCGCAAGCTCTCTTATCAGGTTGACCTGCTAATATAAAATGTCAAGTCCCCATATGATATTAGAGTCATTATGCTCAAACGAGTAACTTATAAAAAAAAAGAAATAGTACAAAATTGATTGGTCTAAACATAAGTTTAGGGGCGTGATAAGTCATTCTTTGCCGGCCAAACATAAAATAGAAGCTGACATATAAGGTCTCAAGCTACATGTCCTATAGGTTCAACTTTGAGAATGAAACCCTATGTTTCAATACCAAGTAGCCTGTGCAGTTTTTATGGGTGTGTGAACGGTGTGACACTATATTGATTTGAACTTGTTAAAATGCATTCATTCATTTGTGCATCTCCCTTTATTGTAAGAAAATGGAAAACCACACATTCTTAAACATGTGCAGATCAACGTCTCAATGATATTGTTGGGAGTGCATACTACGTTGCACCTGAAGTACTACATAGATCATACAATGTTGAAGCAGACATGTGGAGTATTGGTGTCATAACCTATATCCTGTTATGTGGAAGCAGACCTTTTTGGGCACGCACAGAGTCTGGAATCTTCCGCTCAGTACTGCGAGCAGATCCTAATTTTGCGGATGCTCCTTGGCCAGGTGTATCAGCAGAAGCCAAAGATTTTGTGAGAAGACTTTTGAATAAAGATCATAGAAAGAGAATGAGTGCTGCACAAGCACTAAGTGAGTTGACTAATCTTCTTAGATTATGAGCCTGTGTAGAAAGAGAATTCGCCTGAAATGGCTGAATATACTGAATTTTCTGAAAGCAAAAGCATTTGATTAAACAGCCATTTCAGCCTTATAAGTCGAAAGCTACCTATTCTGCATTTCTGCTTATTTTGCCAAACGTGCCTTATGTTTTTGTTTGAGCAGTTATCTATATACAAAAACACTTCATGATTTTTACCAAATTCTGTGCATAATACTTGCAGTTCATCCTTGGCTGAGACTAGAAAATTTTTCTGTTCCTTTGGATATACTAATCTATAAGTTGGTCAAGTCATATATCCGAGCCTCACATTTGAAACGTGCTGCACTAAAGGTATTGGTAATTTTTTTTTTCGTTTCTTGATATGCATTAGTTATTTGATGTTTATTGTCGTTTTAATTTTCTTATTTGCACTTCTTAATTAATACTACAGGCTCTTTCAAAAGCTTTGACAGCACAAGAGCTGTTTTACCTCAAGGCCCAATTCCAGCTTTTGGAACCAAAAGATGGTTTTATATCACTTGAGAACTTCAGAATGGTTGGCAGTGTTTTATTTGTTCTTATTAAAGTAAAATTCCTTTTTTTAACATAAGTTACAGTTTCTTCCTTTTGTTAATCTCAACTCGAAAAGGGGTCCACTACTTCACTTCTGGTCCAATATGCCATCATTTAGTGAACAATTTTATAAATAACATCCTACTAACTTTCATGGTATTTTGAGCACGTTGGACAGTAGGACAAAAAGTGAAACATCTTTTGAATCTTAAGGATAAAAGGGAAGAAATCAAAGCTGGATAATCCATCAAAAGTGGAAATGTCCTAAAAGTACAATCGACTCTTATTTTTAACTTCATAGCACTAGTTATGTTGGTATAATTACCTGATTTCCATTGTTTATTCAGCTCCTAACTACTTTGGTGTGAAATTAATGCAGGCTCTCATGAGACATATGACTGATGCAATGAGGGAATCTAGGGTCTTTGAAATTTTAAATCTGGTTAGATATCTAACATTATTTGTAATGTGGAATTTAATACTCCGTAGTAGATTTATTCTTTGACTTTTAGTCTGCACAAATCCTTAATACTCCGTACTATATTTCCTGTATTATGTGAAATCGGCACTGTCTGCTCACCAGTACCTTTCAACATTGACAGTTTTTATGTTTAATGCTCTGTCTCTACTATTAAAGGAATGGTTAATGAACATAACTTTATACTCCCTCTTTCTCAATGAAAAACATTTATTATATTACTTTAACATTATTAATCATTTTATATAAACATAGGTGACTGCTCAACAATCAAAATCTGGACCAGAAAAGGCAAATGCAGCCTATCCTTTATACCCATTTGTTTTTGGGTCTAGCCCCATTATTTCTTTATAAAATCATTTTAATAGAATTTAGAAATAATCAAGTTGTGAGGTTTATATATCAATGAGTCATCTGAAACTAATTATTTGTCATCTGAATATTTTAGATGGAACCACTATCGTATACACAAATGAACTTTGAAGAATTTTGCGCTGCTGCAATCAGTGTGTATCACCTTGAAGCACATGAAAATTGGGATCAAATAGCAAGTACTGCGTTTGAGAATTTCGAAAGAGAAGGAAACCGTGTAATTTCTGTCGAAGAATTGGCACAGGTAAGGGCTTCTTTCGGGGCCTTTTCACTTATAATTTGTAGACACAGTCAAAAGGTATATGCACTCACACACACTTGTTACATTTGGCCTGTGCAGGAACAGAACTTGGGTCCTACGGCTCATGCTCTACTTAAAGACTGGATAAGAACCGACGGAAAATTAAACCTGCTTGGGTATACAAAGTTCTTGCATGGCGTGACAGTTCGCAGCACGAATTCAAGGTTCCATAGATAGCATCAATCTCTATGAAGGAGACTTCATTAGTAGTAGAGTAGATAAGTGCATTTTTTCCATCAGCTTTTTTTTTTTCTTTCCATATGTGCAGGGATGGATGATTTTGAACTTTATTTTTCATTATTTGATTAAAGTTAAAAGTGCAGAGGGCAGTACATCGTTTGGATGATCTCGAACTTGCATATTCTTTTGAATGTTGCAAATGATTGTTTATTCTTGTTTGTAATACACGCGTGTCTAAACTTAACAGTTGTGCGGTTGAGTAATCGAATTCAATGATTTGTTGTTCACAACCTTGGTAAATATAATCTTTCATTTCCCCCCTACTAATTAGGGGATGTTTGGTTCGTTTGGATCTGATTCTTAAAATTGATTCCGCTCCTTCAGGGAACAGAAACAGAAGCTAGAGTGTTTAGGTGAAAGTGCAGAAGTAATTCTGGTGTTATAATTTACTCCTAGAATCAGTTTTTTTAGAAGTTGGGGGTAGTCATGGACCCGGGCCGGGCTTTTTTTTTGGGAAGGAAGGCCGGGGACCGGCCTGGGTAGCCACCGGGTCCGGGCTGGGCCTCCGGTTTGGTCATTTTTTTTTTTTTTTTTTTTTTTGCTTTCCTAACCCCCCCCCCCTCACCCCTCACCCCCCACCCCCCAAACCCCTCCTAACCATCAAGCCCAACCCGGGTAACCCCAAAAATGAAATAAAAAAAATAAAAATAAAAATTAATTCGGCCCGGACCCGGGCCCGACCCGGCCGGGCCGGTTCGCCAAATACAAGGCCCGAGCCCGGACCTGCCCCCCACCGGGCCTAGGCCCGACCCGGACCCGAGAACCAGGCCGGTTCCAGGCCTGCACAGTAGCGGGCCGGGCCTGTTCCGGGCCGGGCGGCCCGAACCGGGTCCATGACTAGTTGGGGGAGATCAGCTTCTGAAAACTGATTTTGCTTCTGCTTTTGCTTTAAAAAAGAAACAAAAGCAGAATCAGTTCCAAACACCCCTTAATGGATGTTTCTTGAATTTTCTTTGGACCAGAGTGATATTTCGTTGCTATTAGTGGTCGACCCAGCTTGATTCTCAGAATTAGTTTCTAACTTTCTATCGCGAACCAAAAAACATTATGACTTTTTTTGTGACCAGTGGGCGGCGTGAGACTAGGCATGGACCGGTTCCGGGCCGGGCCAGTCCAAACCGTGCTTTTTATTTTTGGGTTGAGGCCCGGAACCGGCCCGGCAGAATCCCGGGCCGGGTCTGATTCGTGGCCTAACGGCTATATTTTATAATTTTTTTTTGAATAATTCAGCCCTCCTAGCTATTGGGACTATTCCCAAACGGCTCTATAGCCATTGGAGGCCTAGGAGGGGGGTCCGGGTGTGGGGGGTGGGGGATACCAAAAAATCCTATTTATACTCCTATTATCTATACATTTTTACACCTCTTCTCCTACAACTCTTCCTACTCTCTAATTCTCTATTCTCTCATATTCAATCATCTTCATCTTCTCCGATTTTCTCTACATATATATTATTTATATAATTATTATATCTACTTATATACTAGTACTAATTATCTATTTATAAATACATATATTATATTACTAATATTTATTATCTACTTAATATATACCTGTTATCTACTTAATATTTACTTGATTTTTAGTTATTATCTATACTTAGTGTTTGTTGGGTTAAGGGCCCAAGCCGAGGTCCGGCCCGCTAACCCATTTTGCCAGACGAGCGTCCAGCTAGAAACTAGGCCAGCCCACAGGCCCATGTTCTTTAAGGATGGACGAGCGTCTGGTGTTGGAGGACTCAGGCCCAGCAGCTCATTCCGACGAACGTCTATGCAGGGACAAGGAGCAGAGCCACGGGCCACCAGGGATGGCGACGAACGTCCCCAGAGCAAGCCTGTAGTCATCGGAGAAAACCCAGTGCACATGGTGAGTATCTATCAAGGCCAGGAGACGAACGGCCAATATCCCTCAAGGGTCACTTGGAGCAATCCAACTCACTTCCCGGGTGGACGAACGTCCCCACTGATCCGGCGGGAAACCTAGATTCTGGCGGGAAGTGCATTTAATGCTAAAGATTTGGTAGTTGGGACACCAGCGGTCCACAGGCTGCCACGTCAGTACAGCTACCTGCCCATTGGCGGGTATAAATAGAAGCATTTATTTCATTGTAAAGGGTTGGCAACTTACTATTCTTAGCATACTAGCTTCAGCATTCTTACCTGAGCATTTCTAAGTGCCTTGTAAGACGAACGGCCGACGTGCCCTTTTAGCAAGTAGATTGTATTTAGGGGAGTTATTACGGAGTTAATAATACCTATTTACATTGCCTGCTATTTCTCTTGTTTCCTGATCCATCTGAAAGTTGTTGGGCTAGATATCCAAACACTCCACTCGAAATCTTTGGGCTTACGTGTTGGGTCCAAGGGTTGAAGGAATAAACCTCAACACTGGCGCCGTCTGTGGGAAACTCAAGCACGGCCGGACGACCGCTATGTCCCATTGGCCTATCCAGTGAGCCAAATCTTTGAGGCCATCAAGGACAAGGGCCTCCTAACGGAACCCCAGGATATGAATAAACATATGGGGCACGACCAATCGGCCTACTGTGAATACCATCAGAGGACCGGCCACCTGACGGATAATTGCAGCCAATTAAAGAAAGCGATCGACGAGCTGATCCGTCAGGGGTACCTGGGCGAGTTCACCCAGCTGCTGAACAAAAACAGCCAGCAGAAGCCGAACTCAAGGCACAAGACATGGCGCCGCGACGATCGGCGCGAGGCAGAACCTCAGGACGTGGATTATCGAAGTGCAGATAAACGTCCGGAGGGATCCCTCGGCCCGAAGGGCAAGAAGAAGAAATTGGAAATCAAGGTGATCTTCGGGGGCGCTGAGACAGGGGATACACCCGCCGAGCGGAAAAAATTTGAGAGGTCACTCTATGTGGGTTCCGTATCAGCACCCCCCACCAAGCGCAATAGAGCCGAGGCAATTACCTTCGGCCCCGCTGACCTGCCAATGTCACCGGCGCCGCACAGAGACGAGCTGGTGATCAGCATGGACGTGAACGATGCTATCGTCCGTCGCGTCCTCGTTGATACCGGGAGCAGTGTGAACGTCCTCTACTGGGAGGCTTTCGAAGGAATGAGGCTCCGGAGGGACATGCTGCACCCCCTACGCACCCCGCTGTCCGGCTTCACCGGGGATTGCATTGACGCTGAGGGCACCATCATTTTACCGGTAGAGGTCGGCGACGGCCCTCACACTGCCCGGATCAGCATGACGTTCGTCGTGGTCCGCCTGAAGTGCGCCCACAACGCCATTTTGGGCCGACCCGGCTTGGAAGACTTGGGGGCCATATGCTCCGTACGACATTCATGCATCAAATTCCCCACCGACACTGGAGTGGGGGTGGCACGTACGGACCCACATATGGCCAGGGCCTGCTACACGAAGGCCATGGAGAAGCTCAACGAGCGGGAGGCTCGGGTCAACAGCATCTCCGAAAAGGCCAAGCAGGCCGACTTGGACGCTCATCTGGAACCAGCAACTCTGCTGGAGGAAATTGAACTCGACGATCCGACGGACAGGAAGGTGTCCATTGGTGCGGATCTAGAGCCAGAAATCAGGGCAGGGGTCATAGCCGTCCTCCGGAGGTTCAGGATCTTGTTCGCCAGAGGGCCGGAGGACATGCCGGGCATCGACCCCAACCTCATATGCCATAAACTCGCCGTGCGGTCGGATGCCAAGCCTATACAACAGAAGAAGAGATATATGGCGGCCGACCGACGCGATTTCATCAGGAAGGAAACAGCAACTCTCCTCAGCATCAAACATATCCGGCCAGTCATCCACGTGGAGTGGTTGGCCAACGTGGTTCTAGCCCCAAAGGGCGACACTTGGCGGATGTGCGTCGATTACTCGGACCTCAACAAAGCTTGTCCGATGGACCCTTACCCTGTCCCGAGGATCGACCTGCTGGTGGATGAGACAGCAGGCTGCGAGCTGCTCAGCTTCATGGACGCATTCAGGGGCTACCATCAGGTGTTCATGCACCCCGATGATGCCGAAAAAACGGCATTCGTTACGGCGGACGGCGTGTACTGCTACATCGTCATGCCTTTCGGCCTGAGAAACGCCATGGCTACTTTTCAGAGGATGATTGGGATGTTGTTCAAAGACGTACTTGGAAAGACAATGGAAGCTTACGTGGATGACATCCTGATCAAAAGCAAGAAAAAGGAGGACCATGTCCAGGACATGGAGAGGGTCTTCAGCATCATGGAGAAGGCCAGCATGAGGCTCAATCCGAAGAAGTGCGCCTTCGCCGTCAGGGGCGGCAAGTTCCTCGGCTACATGATGAGCGAGCGGGGGATCGAGCCTAACCCGGAGAAGGTGAAGGCGATTATGGACATGGAAGCCCCAAAGAACCTAAAAGACGTGCAGCGGCTCACCGGGCGTCTGGCGGCCCTGAGCAGATTCTTATCCAAGCTGGCTGATAAGGCGATTCCCTTTTTTCAGATCATGAAAAAGGCCAATCCCTTTCAATGGACCCCGGAGTGCCAAACTGCCTTCGAAGATTTCAAGGTATATCTCTCCTCTCCGCTCGTCCTCACCAAGGCAGACCCCGGGGAGAGATTATACATGTACTTGGCAGTAGCCGATCTGGCCGTGAGTGCCGTGCTGCTGAAGGAATCTGAAGGCGTCCAGCGGCCAATATACTTTGTAAGTAAGGCGCTGAATGGTCCCGAGACGAGGTACACACTGATGGAAAAGATGATCCTCGCCTTGATTGCATCCATCAAGCGCCTGGCACCGTATTTCCAAGCACACCCGGTGACTATCTACACAACGCAGCCTCTCGCCACAGTCCTCAGGAACCCAATGGCAAGCGGAAGGATAACGAAGTGGTCCTTGATGATCGGCCAGTATGACGTGGATTTCAAGCCGAGGCCGACGATCAAAGGGCAGGCTCTGGCGGACTTCATTGCGGAATGCACCGCGCGCACCGAGGACGGAACCCATGGCAGCAATGACCTTGACGACTGGTGGGAGATGTACACCGATGGGGCCTCAAGTGCGCGGGGCTGCGGCGGAGGAGCAGTGATCACTTCCCCCGAAGGTTTCAAAGCCTACTACTCTATGAAATTTGAGTTCAAGGTCACCAACAACGAGGCTGAGTACGAGGCGCTTATCGCAGGGCTGAAATGCGCGAAAGCCCTCGGAGCAGCTCGTCTGAAGGTGAGAATGGACAGCCAGCTGGTGGTAACCCAGATGAACGGCACTGCGGAAACCAGGGAAGAGAGAATGAAGGTCTACAAAG